GCAACCATTTATTTAGGTACATGGAATGCTCGCACAATGTGGGAGACTGGGAGAGTTTTCCAAATTGCTGCAGAAATGAGGAGATACAATTTAGAGGTGCTTGGGATCAGTGAAACACATTGGACGCAAGTTGGACAACAACGACTAGCTTCAGGGGAGCTGCTGTTATACTCCGGACATGAAGAAGAAAACGCTTCACATACACAAGGAGTTGCATTGATGCTGTCCAAACAAGCACAAAATGCACTTATAGGATGGGAATCTCATGGACCAAGGATCATTAAAGCCTCCTTCAAAACAAAGAAAACATGGATTACAATGAACGTCATCCAATGCTACGCGCCTACCAACGACTACAATGAAGACGCTAAAGATCAATTCTACGATAGGCTGCAGTCAATCGTCGAGAAGTGCCCGACAAAAGACCTGACTATTCTGATGGGAGACCTAAATGCCAAGGTTGGAATCGACAACACCGGATATGAAGAGATCATGGGACGACACGGACTGGGAGAAAGGAACGAAAATAGTGAGAGATTTGCAAATCTATGTGCCTTCAATAAACTGGTCATATGTGGGACTATATTCCCACATAAACGCACACACAAAACCACATGGACTTCACCGGATCACACCACACAGAACCAAATCGACCATATCTGCATCAACAAAAAGTTCAGGAGGACGATGGAGGACGTGAGAACAAAGAGAGGAGCTGATATAGCATCAGATCACCACTTGCTGGTCGCCAAGATGAAATTGAAACTCAAGAGGCACTGGACAACGGGGAGGACAATATCACAAAAATTTAATACGGCTCTTTTTCGGGATACTGACAAACTCAATAAATTCAAGATAACCCTCAGCAATAAGTTCCAAGCCTTTCATGATCTACTCAATGGAGAAGGAACAACTATGGAGAGCAACTGGAAAGAGATAAAAGAGGCAATTACTTCAACATGTCATGAGGTTCTGAGCCAAAAGAAGCACCATCACAAGGATTGGATCACGGTCGATACACTAGATAAGATTCAAGAAAGGAGGAACAAGAAAGCAGCAATCAATAACAGTCGAACAAGAGCAGAAAAAGCCAAGGCACAAGCTGAATACACAGAAGTAAACAAGCAAGTAAAGAAGAGCATCAGAACTGACAAACGTAAATATGTGGAGGATTTAGCAATGACGGCGGAAAAGGCAGCAAGAGAAGGAAACATGAGACAACTGTATGACACAACAAAGAAACTCTATGGAAATCACCGTAAACCAGAACGACCAGTGAAAAGCAAGGAAGGCAAGGTAATCACCAACATTGAAGAACAACAAAACAGGTGGGTAGAACACTTCAAAGAACTCTTGAATCGACCAGCCCCATTGAACCCACCCAACATAGAAGCAGCACTCACGGACCTCCCAGTTGATGTTGGCCCACCAACAATTGAAGAAATCAGCATGGCTATCAGACAAATCAAGAGTGGCAAAGCAGCAGGACTAGACAGCATTCCAGCAGAGGCACTGAAAGCAGATGTAGCGGCAACTGCAAGGATACTCCAAGCTCTCTTCAGAAAGATCTGGGATGAGGAACAGGTACCAAAAGACTGGAAACAAGGACTTCTAGTCAAAATACCAAAGAAAGGCGATCTCAGCAACTGTGACAACTACAGAGGCATCACTCTTCTTTCAATACCAGGAAAAGTCTTCAGCAGGGTATTGTTAAACAGGATGAAGGACTCCGTAGACGCACAACTTCGCGACCAACAGGCAGGATTCCGTAAGGATAGATCGTGCACAGACCAAATCGCAACTCTACGGATCATTGTGGAACAATCAACTGAATGGAATTCATCACTCTATATCAACTTCATCGACTACGAAAAAGAATTTGATAGCGTGGACAGAACAACCCTATGGAAGCTTCTTCGACACTACGGTGTGCCTCAGAAGATAGTCAATATCATACGGAATTCCTATGCTGGATTAAACTGCAAAATCGTTCATGGAGGACAGTTGACAAAGTCGTTCGAAGTAAAGACCGGTGTCAGGCAAGGTTGCTTACTCTCACCCTTTCTCTTTCTCCTGGTGATCGACTGAATCATGAAGACATCAACATCTGAAGAGAAGCACGGGATACAGTGGATAGCTAGGATGCAATTGGATGATCTAGACTTCGCAGATGATCTGGCTCTTCTATCGCATACGCAACAACAAATGCAGGAGAAGACAACCAGTGTAGCTGCAGCCTCAGCAGCAATAGGTCTCAATATACACAAAGGGAAAAGCAAGATTCTTCGATACAACACAAGATGTACTAATCCAATCATAATTGACGGAGAAGCTTTGGAAGATGTACAAACCTTTACATATTTGGGCAGTATCACCGATGAACACGGTGGATGTGATGCAGATGTGAAGGCACGGATCGGTAAAACAAGAGCAGCATATTTACAACTGAAAAACATCCGGAACTCAAAACAATTGACAACCAACATCAAGGTCAGAATTTTCAATACAAATGTGAAGACAGTTCTACTGTATGGGGCGGAAACCCGGAAAACTACGAAAGCCACCATCCAGAAGATACAAGTGTTTATTAACAGTTGTCTACGCAAAATACTTCGGATCCATTGGCCGGACACTATTAGCAACAACCTACTGTGGGAGAGAAGGAATCAGATCCCAGTGGAGGAAGAAATCAGGAAGAAGCGCTGGAAGTGGATAGGACACACATTGAGCAAAGCACCGAACTGCGTCACAAGACAAGCCCTCATATGGAATCCTCAAGGTCGAAGGAAGAAAGGAAGACCAAAGAATACATTACGCCGGGAAATGGAGATAGATATGAGAAAAATGAACAAGAATTGGATGGAACTAGAAAAGAAGGCCCAGGACAGAGTGGGTTGGAGAATGCTGGTCGGCGGCCTATGTTCCATTGGGAGTAACAGGCGTAAATAAGTAAAGAATACTATGGAAATTTGTAGAATTGTGGTCCACTTCGGTATTAGTGCTGCTTTAATAATAGACCTAACTATTAAATTGCAGATCGGTCGTGATGTAACTGCCCAATATATAAGACTTTACATGAAAGTCACATCATTGTCTACCATGACTCATCGCATTGTAACATTCATTAATATACGATGAAGAACACATTTAGGCTGGAGATGGAACAACTTATTCAATATGGACAACAATTATTTTACATAAGTATGACCACGCCTGCAATGCCGAGCCATACCATCCGATCAATCAATTAATTAGTTTCCAATCAATGTTATCGCGTCCACCATTACCGACCTTCTCTTAGTGTTACATGTTTAAAGTTTATTTTCCAAGCTATCTCATGTTCAGCTTTGACGATTGTGGTTAGGATCCAATGACACTACAGATTGATCGTAGTCGTCTTCCATTGTTGATGTAATGCTATTACCTCTACATGGTTCTGAGATATCCTAGAGGTCTTTTCTTCCAAAACAAAGAATCCGCGAGGGCTCAAAGAAGTTCCTAAGCCCGGAACAAATCACTTGTTAGCTGACCACAGACTTTCCCGTCGAATCATTAGCAAACAGAACTCCTTACCTCAGCAGGTAATTAAAGCTCCATCTGTCGACGGATTCAAAAGAAAGTTTGGTCATTTAAGAGACTACCATCATCGGGAGGCCACCCAGCCTCCCTTCCTTTCCAAACTGAAGCTGAGTAAATATGTTTGACTAAGTAATAACGCATCGATGTAAAACGTTACACTCATTATTGTGTGTGCAGTTGTATTGGCTTAAGTGAGAATCCACTACGCAGTATTTACTGAAGTAATGAATCATATAGATCTGGGAGTTACTATAAGGGATGACCTTAAGACTACTAGTGACTGTGAGACCTCTGCTTCCAGAGGCTATAGGGTCTTGTGGGTTGAGTGTAAGTCATCACGTCACTATAATAGAGAAGCATTTAGGGTGTTATACCCGACGATTGCGAGTTGGGGTTCCAGTAGTTAGTCCTTTTTTCAAGTATCAAGTGGATGTGATAGAAACAGTTCACCGGAGGGGATCAGAATGGCGAAAGGTCTCAATGACCCACTTTATGAAGACAACCTGAGACGACTCAACCTGTTTCCGGCATCTTACAGCAGGTTACGAAATAGCTTGTGGCGATAGTTAACATAGATGTACTTCGTAATTACTCACATTTTCTACGGTAGGTATTTTAGTGGAAGGTTCTATGTGAAGTCCACATAGGCCATTCTAGCTTCTGGACAAACCAATAGATTCATTCTTTTGAAACCACGTTTTGACCTTGTCACTTATTGGCTGATTAACCCTAACTACTTTTTATATGATTGCATGTGTGTTAACTACTTACCCTAATCATCATATGTCTGTAACTCATTTTTTTTACTACAAACCTCAATCCACGATCCGATAAATTGCACTGCCTCACTCTCTTTGTCTGCTACGCATCACTTTGTCTCGTTTCGCTCTGCTTTCTTCAATTTGCTTCCTTCGATATCTACTTGGATCAATAAGTGTATGAGATATACGTATTCAAACTTCGTTCTCGTATCTGAATTATTCAATTCCGTCACTCTCTGACGCATATTGTGTCGGTAACTACATATGAGGATAGCTGAGACGCATATTTCGGTGACAATCAACATGCAACCCAACTAAAATGTTAATACTGGTCTACCGTATACTGAACGACGAGTTTGGAACTGAGATGTTCTATATCATCCACTAATCTGAAGCTGATCACCTAGGGGGACATTCTAAAAGGTTCGAAAACCGAGATTAAATTGTTTACTTTTAGAATTCCATTTTCTCGCACTGAGTAATGCATTAATGAAATTCTCTGCCACAACACGTAATATCAGCATTTTCTGTTGGCAAGTTCAAGGCGAGATTAGATCTATACAGTGTTGCAAGGTGCAAGGATCAACACACTTGATTTACCTTCTCTCTCAATTACTGAAGACTGAAGGTTGTGGAGCACATAGAGCATTGAACACAGTATGCACGCATACAAGGTCGACGTTACCTACAACCTCGCGCTATCAGCTTGTTGTTACCATTATCAGGTTGTCTTAATATCACGCTCGCGTTATTTATGATTGTTGTCAATTGATTTCCTTATCAAATGTAAGTGCATTCCTTGTACATAATGAGTTGTCAGCTCACTTTTTCCTGTTCTTTTTTTCTCGGTGAGTCTATAATTTATGGACGAACCAATCATATTTAAAATAACAGGAGTTGGATTTTGGCGCGAAACTCACTTATTCATTTGGCTAGATAGCGTTTTGGCACCCTAGCTGATGTTTATAACACTCCTCCAACACACAAGAAACTTTCAGGCTAGACGTAAGCCTACCCAAGGCTAGACAGTACACTTCTAGCAGATGCACTGTTTTCGTGCTGTTTTCAGAAAAGAAATCGTATTTGGCCTTTTGTATCTACGCGATGTGCCGGAAATCATATGTTTATATAGTTTGCTAGACGAAATAAACGTGTCGGGTTTCTAGGGCTAAGCAACAATGCGTTAGCGTAGAACCTTACACATTATTATATATGTAGTTGTATTGGATTAAAAAAAGTACCTAGTACATAGAATTCTACTTTGCATCACTTTACAAACATGAAACATGATTGATGAAGCCGGAGGAAATGCTTGGGTTCCAAGTGCTTCGGCACGTATGGTGTTCTAAGGGCACTACTTGTGTATGATAAGAATGTTATATGACTAATGCTAACCACTCAACCTTACTCTGCCCAATGTGCTCATTCGCTCTCTTGAGCAGCCAGATATATTTCTGTGTGACTCGTCAATCACTACTTGTTTATTGGAAAGAATTATGCTTTGTGTGTGGTGAAAATGGAGAGCTTAACTTGTTCAATGTGCAACCTGGAATTGGTGATTCGTAAACATCCAAATGGGACTTTGAAACGACACGCCCTATAAAACTGGTCAGATGTAAGTTTAGGTTAAGAGTATGTCGACCAAGTATACAGTATCTTTCAGATCCTACATTTCAAATGTACTTTCTGTCACTTGACATTCCGTTTTTCTCTTTTCCCTAACACTAATTTGTTTGTTGTGCGATAGAGTAGGATGGTGATACAGATAAACATGCTACTATGATTAACACGGGTTTTTGAAAATATCTTATAGGCTTTGAATGATGGAGTATTTTATATATGTGGACTGAGTTACTATGTTCATCGTAATTTTTTAAGCTCTTGTCTCAATTTTGTTAATTTTTCGTGCGCTTTTGGCTCCGTTTCTGTTTGTTATTTGGTTCTTTCGATTGCAAGAAATTTCATTTTGTCCTACGTTAACTGTAAAGCTGCGGGAGTGTTGTTTACGAAAATGAGAGGACGAAAAGCGAATGTCCGGCGCTATGACCGGATCCCAAACTAATGGTGCACATGGGCTCCACTATCCTGAAGGAACAAATGGCGTATGAACCAATCGTTGGTCACCGGCTGCCATGAGACTGCATGTCCTTACGATGCTCCACTGCCTCGTGGATTGGACCTTCAGGTCAAAGGCTCGGGGTGTGGCCCCCTAAGAAGACCACCTGCTTCGGTTTGGGCACCCGGGCAGTATCATAGTCCTCACACATATCCAATGAGATTTGTGTGGCGCATATGTATTTGGTGCCTTCTTGTACCGATATCTATGTGTTAAAATAAATAAATAAATAAGCTTAAATATTGGCCGAACATAGTTATACTAATTTGTATGTTATATTACTCTCGAACGTCAACAATGCTCCTCTAGATTTGTCAACCATCCTCTTTCGAAGATATTTATGAGTAACAGATCGAATTCAGCCTCTTATTATTCATAACGTTTAGGTCCTTCGATGTATGTAGATGTCTAGATACATCAATGTGTACAATATGGATTCACCTAATATTTTTCTGATAGTGGAATTCGGTTGTTACTGAATAACGTCGTCCTGAATTCAAGGTGTCGTCGATTTTCACTGCGACTATGATCTATCTCTGCGCCTAACTGTTAATTCTCACTAATACCTTCAGTACATGACACTAAATAATGCACATCGACCAAACACTCATGCATAATTTAGTTGACTGTTCTGGTTTTGTGTTTAGGGTTTTTCATGTATAATGGTATCTCATTTGGCTAAATCCTTCATTCGCTGACCATATAAAAATTGTGTTTTTAATTACCCTCATTTGTGCTCAAATATTCACCTCATTTCCTGTAATCCTTGTTATTTTTTATCTTATCTTCAGGTTGTTGTGACGTGATTTTAGTCATCGGAGTTTTTTTTAAACTGGTTTGCCTATGCTTATTAGTAATTCTGTGGAAATATACTGTTATTGTGTTACTGTATTTAGTTACGTTTGGTTTTGATCTGTATCGTAGTTACTACCTAATTCCTAGTAGTATTCTACGGCAAACATTCCTTTATTTCAGAACTATATTGCTACAAGGTTAACGCAAAATGCCTTGTTCTAGCTCGTTGAAACTGTTTTATTAGCACTATTGACTAAGTTCGGTATGGAATTAATGGACTTCCTAGTACTGTGTAGGTGATTATGAGCTAACTATTAAAATTAAGTATAAAGTGGATCACAAAACAGCTGAATATTTAATCATTCCCTGCTTGACCAGTTGTAGTTTTCTTTCTTACTAATTTTATCAGGTTTTGCATGCACTTCCGTATAATGTTTTTATGTTGCCTCTAGCTTGTCGACCTTTTAGGTTCTTTCTAATGAAATGACATCGTTAAGTGACATATTGTTGCCGTGGGATCACACGCAGCAACCAAACGACTTGTTTTTAACTTTCCGGAACTCTGACGACTGTATTGTACGTTTATTATCGTTGAGTAAAGTTGTTTCTCAAGGTTCATGTACCTATCGCAACATCAAATGTCAATAGTTTGAGGAGCAGCTCAGATTCAATTATTTTATCTGAACTGAATAAACAAATGGATGCAAGACTTGTGAGCAAAGGTATTGTTTCATCTATTTTTTAAATTTTCCTAGCTCAGGAATATGGTCCTTTATTGCTTCCTGGGTCAGTATTTTATGTAGGCAGTAATCCTCGTGTGAGTTTTATTGTAGCTGTTTTACAATGTTAACTTACTTGTCTAATTAGGTGTAGTTGTACTAGTTTTCGTAATAGTTATGTTTTCATTTTATATGTGACTTCAATAATGAAATTGTTGTAATCATATTTCCGTAACGTTCCTAAAAGTTTATTTTTATTTTATATGGTTTCATTCGACTTTAGTTTATTCGCAACAGCTTTCATGTCTGGCGTTATGTAGTTCTCATTTTAGTTTGCTCCGTGCGATCACTGATTTCGGCACGTATATGCTGTCACTCAGTTTGTCAATCCACTCTCTCATGGATCGTTCTTCGGAGCGTTTTATGCTGAAAACACCCCACAAATTAAGGTTTATAAACAGTATTGTCTATTTTTTCGTTGTCGTAAGGGAATTTCATCGACAAACTGAGCCACATATGTGTCAAAGTCAATAATGGCAGTCAGATAATCAAGGTGAGAACTATATTATACCAAATATATAAGTTTTCACAAACACACATGCGTAGTGGGCACATTTAATGTGAAGACAGACTATTGAGGAAAGCGGAAAGAGCACGATTTTAATGATAGAGTGGGTAGTTTGTTACGAATACGTGCAAATCCCTAGAAATACAACAAGCTGACATCCTAGACCTTATTACATAAAATGATTAACAGTAACATAAGTTACTGAATAATAGTAAGTAGTATACTATAATATACACAAGGAAACTTGATAAGAAGAAATAAAAATGGGAAAATGAGGGACTAATGTAATTTTCTGGTTATTAAAATATAATTTTCGCTAGTCTTCAACTTATAGCTGTAGTGACATGGTCATTCTACTATCAGTAGTTAGTTTATAGCTTCAATTATTTTGTCTATTTTGTTAGAGGATGGTATGACTAGAATTTTTTGTAGTAAACGGATAATGGATTTCTTTCCATTGCTAAGCCGTATTTTATTTATTTGTAGTGATAGAAAAATTTAGCAGTTCACGTGGTAGATTTGTCTTTTGAGCATGTATGCGATCGGAAACCTAATGACAATATTTGTTAAGTATAGACTATGCGTGGTTGTTATTTGAAACCGTTGTTTCTAGTACATTTCAGAAGTGGTAACTTAATGGCTGAAAAATAGCTTTCAACATATGGATTAAAGGTTTGAACCTTTACTTGTTAAATGGACCATATTATTGCTACATCCTATATTATTAAATTCTAATGCATAAACAGTAATTCATTAGATTTCAATCAAGCTTAAAAGACAAGAAGAATTTCGTTTAGTGATGTGTTGTAAACAGAACTAATACTACTGGTTTGCCAGACGAATGTATGACTTTGTATTGTGTATCTAGTTATATGCATATATAATTATTAAGCAAAATATTTGTAGTTTATCCATCTGAAGCAATATTAATTTTTCAGTGTTGTATTAATTTTAAAGATATGCAAAAAGAAGTAAAATATGTAGCAATGTATATTTTAAATGTTCCTCTACGTTTATTGAAAATCATAGTATAATCATATTGGTAGAAATTTGTTTACTACTTTATTTAGCCTCGTAGGAAAGTAAATTTGTATCGTGAATCCTATGAAATTAGTTATGGTCAAAGAGGAAAATATGGAGAAAATCTCCACACAACTGAAAATGCTGTCATTTCAAATGGTGGACCTAATGATTTAGTTGAATTAGAAAAACTCTCTTCTACATTTACTGATAGGAGGATTGGAATGAGTAAGTTCATTAGAATAAAAATATCTAAAATACAATTAAATTTTTGAGGTGTTTTTTTAAAATGTATCGGTCACTAAATGTCAACTTAAGGTAACAGTAAAATGATCCCTAGCATAAAATTCTATCATTTAAATCATACAATATAATGACGGTACACCGTAAGAGATACATTTGGTTTTACAAATATGAAGGTGATTGTCCGTAAACTGGACCTATTTTCGGTGTTGGTCAACCATTGTCTTCGACTCCTGATCTACAAGAAACTAATTGTCCCATAGAAATAAAGAAGCATAGTAGAACTTTGGGTCGTAGAACACTGAAAAAATTTATGACACTTAACATCAGCGCGTCCAGGGTCGCAAAAGAATTAATACATAGTTGTACTGAGACTGATAATGAAAGTTAAATAAAACGAGTCATGATGTAGAAAAATAAGCTGTAACTAATTATTTACACCAGGATGAACAATTAATATATTTGGAGTAGTTTGTTCATTCTGAAATCTAGCTGAAACGTGAACCAGGACATCCACAATTCTTCACATGGATGAGTGTTTCAATTGTGTAAAATTATAACTTGGTCTAACTACCATTGCTCAGTGCTTCGGGATATCTCAGTTGTTATATGCGTGGTGTAAGTTATTGGTTCAAGTAGGATATCAGATACAGCCTACCTAGTTACAATACATATATTGGATAGTTAGATTTGCAAGTTGGTAGCACTGGTAAGTCGTAGTGGTCAACTTGATTGTTCACCAATCTGATTGTCATCGCCGATTTGTGCACCAATATTATCACTCTGGATACTAATAAATATGATTGAACCCCAATTATCATTGTTTTGGAAATGAAACAGTTTTTCTTCCTCTGAATAGTATTATTTATTTATTTGAACACATAAGCATTGGTACAAGGGGGCACCAAATACGTATGCGCCACACAGTAACAGTGAGGCCAGTAGTAGTTATCATTGACTTGTGTGAGGGCTGTGGTACTGCCCGGGTGCTCAAACCGAAGCACGTGGTTTCTTTAGGAGACCACACTCGCAGCCTTTAACCTAAAAGTCTAATCCACAATGCAGTGCAGCAACGTTAGGATATGCAGTCCCATGGTAGCCGGTGATCAACAACAGGTTCATACTCCATTTGTTCCTTCAGGATCCTGGAGCCCATGTGCACCATTGGTTTGGAACCAGGGTTCACCAACTGCCCTAGGTGGATCTTTCATATCCACCAACGCGATTAAGAAGCCGGACATTCGGTTGCCATCTCAATTTAGTAAGCAACACCCTCGTCGCTAGAAGGCAGTGAATAGGACTTTTCTGGCAGTAGCTGAATACCTATGGCCATGTGAGAGCGTTTCGAGAAGGAGATCGGACTTTCCCCACCCTCGGCCGTATAAGGACATTAGGGGGCTTTAAGTGTAAATTCTACAAGTAGATCTATGCTATGTAAAGATAAGTCTATCTCTGAGCGACGTTACCTGTTGTAGCCGCTCTACATAGCTTTCTATGAGTGCTTTGTCCTGGAACATCCATCAACCATTAACAAACTTACATCGGAAAATGTGAAAATGTACTGATAAGTGTTCTATTTCCTTTGGGACTTGACAAGGAGGAAAAATTTGATTGCTCAATACCAAGTCAGTGCATTATGGTTTTTCCGGGTTTATCTTATCCCTGAGGTCCATTCGGATGCCTGCAGACTACTGATCGCATCATTTTGCTAAGCGCATTAATTTTACTTTCTATGCATTATAATCATTAATAATTGACAATACTCGGAGGATTGCATTACCTTTAAACTTAGAGGGTCGAATAGCGTCTGGGAGCGAATCATGTTTCCTTTTCGTTTAAGACTAGATTTAACTCTGTTAATACGGTTAAATTACACAGGCATATCCATTTTTGTAGATCTTTCGCAAACTGATGTTGCAAATTCACTTGGAAAACTTTATGGAGTACATCGTAGTGTATCCATGATTTCACGCTTCGAAAGAATGGATCTTAGTTTAAGCAATTACTTGAAAGTTTATCCGATTATTCTAAGATGGTTGAAGGATAGTGAAACTGCTGATGGTCGCGATAAAATTATTCGAGCTGTTGTTGATTTTCAGAATAATAATAATAATAATGATACTAAATCACCAGTCAAAGAAAGTCCTCAGGTAATTGAATATTTTTCCTTAGAAATGTAGCTGGTTTGTTGATTAGTTCGTACTTCCTACTTGTTTAATGTGATTAGTGTTCTAGTCCCAAATTATTTTTATTTATTTATTTTAACACATAGATATCGGTACAAGAAGGCACCAAATACATATGCGCCACACAAATCTCATTGGATATGTGTGAGGACTATGATACTGCCCGGGTGCCCAAACCGAAGCAGGTGGTTTTCTTAGGGGGCCACACCCCGAGCCTTCGACCTGAAGGTCCAATCCACGAGGCAGTGGAGCATCGTGAGGAGATGCAGTCCCATCGTAGCCGGTGACCAACGATTGGTTCATACGCCATTTGTTCCCGCAGGATACTGGAGCCCATGTGCACCATTGGTTTGAGGTCCGGTTATAGCGCCGGACATTCGCTTTTCGTCCTCTCATTTTCGTAAACAACACCCCCGCCACGAGAAGGCAGTGAGTAGGATTTCCCTGGCAGGGGCTGTATACGCGTGGCCATGTGAGAGCATTTCGAGAGGGCGAGCGGACTCTCCCCACTCTCGGCCATACCAGGGCATTTGGGGGCTCTAGTCCCAAATGACTTGCTCTTGTTAGTATTCAAAACATTTAATAAACAAAGTGTAGATGAGGCATTCAATTTAAATCGTTCATACCGCTATATTTTGCACTGTTTTTTTACCAGGCTAGTATGAATACGAATTAAATAAACCATTTAATAGTATCCATCATTACTGAAAATGAGCATTCTGGACGAAAAATTTCGCTAATGATTATCAGTCCTAATTCACAAATATGATTATCATTTAGTTTCACTACATGCTCCTTTGAAATCATAATGTTCTTAAGGTGAAATAATGTCTTCGGTCATTAACTATGTTAAGTAATCCTTAGCCTTGGTAACCAGAAGTGTACAACTGACGCATCATTTAATATAAACTCAAACATGATTTTAGTGATATTTTCAAGATCTAATTACTTCAAATTTTAAATACTCAGCCTCTTTTAGCTAAGAGACAGTTCTAAAATGAAGTGTTGGATACGACTAATATGCTGTTTATTGAGGGATTGGGGTATATTGCGACAATTTTTTTGAAAATAATTTGCTGTTAGCTGATCATCACATTTGGACGTTTTCCCAAGTTTATTTCACCAGAAAACCAATCCTAGTTTTAAGTCGTACGAAAATGTGTAGAGCAGTGACCTAGTAAATGAAACACGACTTCCAAACATCAGGTTCAAACCCCACTACATGTCCTTCAGTTCGGGGAATTAGGTAGTGTTACTAGTCCCCACATAAACAATATGAGTTAAAACCGAAAACATAAACTTGTACTTAGTAAATAAACTACAAGATAACATATATTTGGTACAGGACAGACCAGTGTATTTTTATAATTTACTAGTCCTATGCACTTCACAAGCGTGTTTGTTCAACACTGTCCAAGGTCATTACTACAAAGTAATAAGATTTTATCTCACTCAGTTATAAACAACATACGACCTAGCATTAATGCATATCGGAACTCATTATCACTCACATAGGCATAATCAGAGAACATCAACGAAATGATAAGCAGATGATGGAAACTAATACCACACTCAATGCTAAGCTAACCATGAAGTATCAAATTTGATAAAAAAACTAAAAATGAGAAATGGGAAGTATGAATAATACATCAACCGACATTACGCCCATTGGCTTTTTCTACAGAAATGTATAAATTCCACAAACAACTGCGATCGTAGATTTTAGTAAAATTTTCCGTAAATTGTAGGGATATAAAGCAAAATAACCACCTTTTAATTTATTAGTTGTCTAGTAGTAGACGAATAAGTCAAAACTAGTCTGTTGTTTCCTTTGACTTATTGAAAGATTAGTTAATTTTAAGTATTTAAAAAAAAATCAATTCCAAGTTCGTGAGTCGTTTTTCTCGCTACCATTTTCTATGTTAAATATTTTTAATTATGTGTTTTAGGCTGAAAGTCCTGTTTTCTCGAAGTTCCCAAGACGACGACCGAGAACAATACTACCTGATTCTACAAGAAGGGAGTTGGAGCGAGTCTATAGACAAGTTAGTGTTTACACTTAGTCGTTAATTCTTTTCTCACAATTCTTATAATCCCCGCAACCGGATGGTAATTTATTGCTCCACAGTATATTTGTTTAGTCTGAACGTCTCAATTTCCTAAGACGTCGGCTTGTTTGATCAAATAAGATAAAAGTTTGGCAAGCTCTACTGACGTTATAAGATGATCACTACATTGTATTACTCGGGTGAAGTTATGGGCATAAATAATTATATCCTAGTCTTATTTTCAGAGGGAAAACCACCACTCACTATTCTTAAATATATCTCTGGATCAACCTCTGCTAACTTCTTTTATCTTGGGAATGCTGTGTTAATGTGTGATGAAGCAACCTAGGTCAAATCACACTTGGTCTGAACAACTGCATAAAATTTTCGACTCTGTTATTGATACCTACCCAGGCGATCACAAGATTACTCAAAGTTTGTTAACAATGGTAAAACCTTGCTAGAAACGATAACCACAAGTTACTTTTTTGCATGACTTTAGCCTTTTTGTGGTTGACTTCCATCGCTTGTAGTTTGCTAAATCTTGATATACTTATCTTCGTTACATAATTTCGTTTTGCTCTGCGTCTTCTATTTCGGGTATAGAGTCTTTCTACAATTCATCTTCCTGTGTTAGCGGACAAGTAATGAAGTGTTATATGCCAGTTTTTTGTTATCGATTTACATAGTAGAACCGGTGTTACTAGAGTAGATCGATCGTTCCTAATTCTGAAAGTACTGTAGGCCCTTACTGAACTTCAAATATTGAGACTGAACATTTTACCACAGTTTATTTACCGATTATTTTTATGATTAGTCAGCAACGTGTTGTTTTTAACTCTCGATAGAGAATCATGCTGTAACTTACAAAATTATGTTACTGGTTTTTCTTCTGACAGAATAAAAAACTATCTGCATATGAATTGATAGAATTGGCTGAAAAGTTAAATGTTGACAAAACAATTATACAAGTATGGTTCTACAATCGTCGTACACGTAGCATTATTGATCGAAAAAGAAGATTGAAACGAGCCAAAAGGAAATGTTAACATCAAAAACAGAAGACCTAATGTCTTGTACATTTTCGTGATAATTAAAAAAAGATAAATCTTTTCACTTCTATGATAATCTCTAGTTTTCTAATGACTATGCTTAATGTATGGGATTGTTATCTAAAGGAATATGTACTTTTTCAGCATAGATTTATGTTAAACCTACTAGAATAAATAAGGATTATTACACGATGGTATAATTCAATTCGTTTCACAAGCTTATGATGGATAAAACTTGACTACTCTAGATTTAGTCACTTAGTGCTTCTGCTGCTACGACGGCGACTACTACTACTACTGTTGAAAAGTATCTAACATTACTAACGAAATTCAATGGAAGTGATTCGTTTTGATTGAATAAGGAAGAACGCAAAAGCCAGAAAACCTGGCTTTTCTTTTAAATGAGAAGGCATTTTTTAATCAACAAAACTGTACAATATTTTAGATGAAAACCAATTTGTTAACTGATAAAGTAAATTTACACTTTCATAAATAATTCAATGGTAACAGTAAGAAAAATACAATAGCTGATTGATTAATTGATCATTGAATAAAATTAATATATCACCAGAAAGCACACCTGTATAAAAAACATAACAATGAAATTTTCGTAAATATACTACTATGATTATGCACAGTGTGGGACTACTTCAGACTATGTATATTGTAATGTTAATTGAAATGGAAAGCTCTTCATGGGTTTACTTGGCAGATCAATACTTACTCTGTATCGTTTATTACTAGATGCTTAAGAATATTTTGGAAATAGATAATATGATCAATTACACTTAGTTTTTATTGTGGTTGACATTCGAGCATTGTTTATCCATGTTAGTTATGGAAAATCGTAAGTTTAAGTAATGAACTGATCGAAAAGGATTCCTTTACTGCGTGAATTGTTCGAAAACATTGAGTGTCATTTAGTGGGAGAAACACCATAATGAGAAGTTGAGTATTGCAACAACACTCATCTCTGGATGCTTTTCTTTTCAAACACAAAATAATTTCATTTTCATGTCTTTTATATCTGTCATTCTCATGAATGGAAATTCGTTTATAGTTACATTCCCACTAATGTCCAAACAATAATCTTCTTAACCACTGATAGTTATAACAATTAGCTTATATCCCTACTCCTTTACAAGATTTTCGTAGCAGCATTAAAACCATGGTAGGGATGGATTTCATGTTTGGAAAGCAGTAATAATAATATCGAAATTTCGATATGTCAGTAACGTAAGGAAAACTTTACGTGAGTGAATGATAACTTGAACGTGAACAGCCAACGGGAATATAATCATGTGTATACTCATATATAATTTATTCATTTAAACTCGCAAACATCAGTACAAAGGGGAACCACAATGCGTATGTGCCATATAAATCATTGTATTTATGTTTGTGCGGAAATACTATCCAGGTGTCTAAACCGATTCAGGTAGTTCTCTGAAGGGATCACTCCCCAAGCCTTTCAACAAGATGCTTTACACATAAGGCGGTGGAGCAACGTTAGGAGATGCAGTCCTATGCTAGCGGGTGACCAACAATAAGTCCATACGCCATTTGTCCCCTCGGGCTCATGGAGCTCATTTGTACTGCTAGTTTGGGATCAGGGTTTTCCAATAACACTGACCCAGTTTAAGCTCCAGACATTCGCTTTTCATCCTCTTAATTTCGTAAAAAACACACGCCGTGAGAAGACAATGAGTAGGAGTAAAACACCGCAGTAATTATTACTAATACACTGACACAATTGCACCAGTGACTGAAATATCAATAATGAAAACTCCTGCCCGTTGTTAAAATAATGCTAGTTATCGCCAAAACAAACGAATGTCATTCTAATTGGTGAACTATACAGTCGCTCAAGGACGGATAGAACACTTTTATAGTGTCACCAATACTGAATTTAAAAACAAAATAAAACATAATTAACTACTTACCAGCCTATATACATCTGGCATAAATTTTGATTTGAAGTTGCTTCACGTATAAGGAAGTCTACTTGAGCAGAAACACTCATCATTTGATCTCTTTCAGTGCCAGTTAGTTTTTGCCTAATTCTTTCCATTACAGAACGTGCACGTACATTTCCTAAAGTGACAGGCTGAGCTGGAAAAAATTACAGAAAATATTGTTTAGAAATAGCTCCATTTTACTTTTAGATTCTGTTTAAAAAAATGATAAAAACAAAATACGCGTTCTAGGTATTCGAGGTTCTGATGTACCATTGCTGTATGAAGACGGTAATGATAATAACTATCTGTCTGAATCTTGATTTTTTTAAATGGTCTGCTAATTAACTAAAAGCCGAATGACTAAAAGGATAATTCGATCATTATTTTTTCCTTTTTACAAAAAACTAACATTTTAGATAAATTTAATCAGTATTAACTTTTGGTGAAAAATTAGTTCTTTAAAAAATTTTCATGTGAACAATTTCAAGACAACACTAATGATGATCTCGATGAAAAAATTACTGATACCTGAGGTATGAAGTAAACTTACATTCTGAATCAATACATGAGTCTTCATTGCTTGGAGGTTTTGCAGAAAATATGAACCCTTGTAATCCTGAAAAAAAATTAAACATCATATCGATATTATTGTATAAATCATATTTGACAAAATCCTTTAATATGATGAGGTGTATATTATAACTAGCAGACAGATACAATGAACATCAGGTATTATTTGATGTAAAGTAGTGATCATTGTATTTACGATCCGCCTGTTAATATAGAGCAAAACATTCAGTAAATAAGTTTGTTTATCAGTAAGCTGTTCTACAAATTCTGTACACAGTATTACTATTTCTTTTTTGTTGACATGATTCTGTTCACTCTGAATTAGATTTTGATTATTTGTAATGAACAAATGTTTGAATACTGATAATATATAATGTGACCAAGTGATGACTGTTCGTGAGATCGAATTATTAATATGAGCCTCCAACTAGGCGGTTATCAGAAGATAAGACAGCTTTAGAATATATTTTCTAATCCATTTAATGAAAACTCCAAAATGTAAAAAGGATATTTTTGGGAGAAAACTATTAAAATTAAAGTCTAAAATATAACCATATTGGTTACCTGTCTACACAAAATATGAAAATTATTTTTACCGATCTTAAAGTTATATATATGATACGTTTTATATTCTCTGCTTGAAAAATATTTATTTCATTTTTGGGATAATTTTATTTAGTCTATGTTCAACACTACTAAACATAACTGTCAAATTGAATTCAACCTGTTACAACGTAAGAATGATGTTAGTGGAGTTGAGTTCTGTGAGAAGGGTGATTTAACCGTTGAAGTTGTATTGCCTTTCTACACAACATCATCACTACAAACTTCACATAGAAATGAGCTGTTCGAACATCTTCACAAGCAAATAACAGTTTGTTTTATTAACATGATGTTATTTAAAAAACAGAATGAAAGCTTTACGACTAAGCAATTTAGCTTAAAGGACGCAAATCCACCGAAATCATTCTCGTGAGCTACAAATCTAGACGTCAACTTATTAACAAACATAGATAACAAACTAGAAGAATAAAACGTATTGTTTACATATAGGGATGTACGTGCTGAAGATACAATTTGACTAAAATGACACAAAATTAAAATGAAACTAAAAGCTGTACCTATAGTTTTGAGTAAAAATTAAATTAACTCATTCAGCAGGTACTTGAGTATTAGCCAAACTTTAAATGTGGGCTAATAATACTACAACCTGGTTACCTAAACAAAGTAGTGGGGGTTCAAACTAGGGACTTAACAACTAAGTCACCGCTCCATCAAGTTTTGGAAGGTGAAGATTAAAACCACAAATCCTATGTCACAGTTATCAGAATACTTTAAGTTAAAGAAAGCGAAAGAATATGTATATAATGCTGTTTACAGAAATCCAAATAAACTCAAACAGAACTTACCATGACGTTCAACTACTATGTGACCGGATTCCATTTGCTTTCTTAAACGTTTAGCTAAGTAAAGATTAAAATAACAAATGAATAGAATAGCTGTCTACCAAAATATCTGAGGAAATGTATCTTTCTACATAAATTAGCGTTTTAACAAGGGTATTTTTTAACGTAAATCTTCATGCACGTTTTGCATAATACACTGCGTGAATTTTCACGTGATATTTTCACCAGTTAAAAGTTAGATGACTAGAACTCTGTAAACTGATTATTCAAACATCTGATTTTAGTTCTTAATACTCGGGACGCACTAGCCTTTAATAGGGAAGAGTTCGAGTTTTCATACTTACCAAATAAATAAATTAAGAAATATAATTTACAACACCTACCAGTTTCATAACAACCAAACCAAGGTCCATTACACAAATGATGACGCCATTGATTCACCTTTTGTGGATCACGCAATGAAGCACTGTCTGGATGATTTGGATTAGTAAACACCTTGTTTGGCGAATTAGCTCTTCTATTCAAATTTTGCTGTTGATAATGTCCTTGTGGATTCTGTTGACCTGAAGTTAAATTACTACTTTTGTCTGTTGGACGTCGAAGTGTATTTTGAACAGCATGATGCTAATATAGGAAAATACAAAAAAATTACATTGAATTTCAAGTTACGGATAAATTCAAAGGTATCAACAATTTTTTCAATAAAATGCAAGCAGCAAAGTGTTTAACAATAAACATTAAATAAGTGTTTACTTTGTATGAATTAAATTTCAAGTTTAATTACCTATATTATGTGATTAAAATCTGATTTGTTTTAGTTTACTAGAAAAACAGTTCAATGATCAAATAAATCGACCTCCAACTATAATATAACTCAGGACAGGCAGAATAAACTACTAACACTAACCAGTAACTTGTAATATGATTGTTTAGTTTGTACTACTTGCTCAGTTTCAGCGATCAAACCGCCCTGTGACAACTAGATAAAGCGATTGAAGGTCGAGCACACTATATTCTGATGTTGAACGGTTACAGGCAACCACGTATCGTGCTAGTTATTAAGTTCCTTGATTATTACTAAGAAATAAAATGGCGTACAGACAATGTGAGTATATGCGAAGCAAAGATCAGTTGCGGCCGGG